GGGAAGGCTGTGGCAGCTTGTTTTCCTTTCTGGTTCCTCCTCTGTTCCTGCACTGTGCTAAAGAAAAAGGTCTCAACTGTTAGCCTGGGTGAAAGCCTGAGAGAGAGAGAGAGAGAGAGAGTGTGCACACAAGGGATACCCCCTCTATGCCAGCCATAATCATCTCCCCAGCTGAGTGGTTCAGAAAGCAGGAGGGTTTCCACCAGCTCCAAGACACCACAGAATTTAGTACAGGGAGTTTGAGCATCAACATACAATGCTTGGGAGTAAACAAAGCTGTACGAGAACGTCTGTTGATTTATTTGCTGTATTAATGACAGTCTGCTGTTTTACCCCTCCCTACAGAACAGCCTGCCCGGAGGAGTTGCTGGAGACTGTTTTGGAGCACATCTTCGCTGCCACAGGGCCCAGCCAGCCAGCCACAATGTACTGCCTGCAGTGGTTGCTACCTGTCCTGCTCATACCCAAGCCCCTCAACCCAGCGTTGTGGTTCAGTCACTCAATGTTCATGGGCTTCTACCTGCTGAGTTTCCTTTTGGAACGGAAGCCGTGCACAATTTGTGCCTTGGTCTTCCTGGCAGCTCTATTCCTCATCTGCTACAGCTGCTGGGGGAACTGCTTCTTGTATCACTGCACAGGATCCCAGTTGCCAGAATCAGCTCACGATCCCAGCATAGTGGGCACCTAGAAACAATAATTTTCCAGTCTGCTGAGGGCTCTTGTTTTGCTTTTAAAAAGGGGGTGGGCTAGGGAGGAGGGAGGGGGTGTTAGGCATGTGACTGGAATAAAGCCAGCCTGTTTCATGTAACTGTGTGTGGACTAGAGTGGTAAATTCCTCCCACTCTGCCTGTGAAATTCAACTTGTTTACTGTGTGAACTCTGGCAGCACCACCTGCTTTTTTAGAAGCAGAAATCTTTGTTTTTTTTCTTCTTTCCCCTTCCCGTATCACCGGGAACAGACACCAGCCCTCCTAGCAGAGAACTGGTGGAGGACTGAGCTGCTGGCCTCTGCTGGCTGTTGCAGGGTGGAGTTGGGTGTCACTCACTTGTCTGCATTAGGCCATGGTGGCCTAACTCAGGGCTCTCAGCCCACTGATTCTGCTCGAGTGGCTACAAGTTTCTCTCCATCTTTGTGGGGAGCCAGCCTTCCCACCTTGCTGATCAAGGGCAAGCTCGACAGTCCACAGATGACTTGGCTGAAAGCTGCTGGAGCCAGAGGCAGTTGAGTCATCTCCTCCTTCTCAGCCTGCCAAAGAGATGTGTGCACTGCCGAAGTGCTTTCTGAAGTACTTACGCTCCAAGATCATAGCCTGAAAGCCTCAGTTATGCTGCTGCTTTTATAAAGCCTCACAGGTAGTGGAGACTGTCCCTTCCCTTCTTCCTAGACTTCAGGGTTTACCAAGGTATTGACTGTTGGGATAAAGAACCGGTATGCTGCAGGATGTGGGGTTTTGAAAGCCACTGTGGACCTCACCCTATAAAAAACTGACTCCAGCCCAAAAGGCCAGGTGTGGGCAGGGCAGGAGAGCATCCCAAGGTGGAGGCATGGCTTGAAGCTGTAAACGCTTCAGTCGTTTTTAGTGATAGTATTTTTGGGCCAGGGGTGGCAGAAGGTGCTGGTGCTACTGACTGGAGAAGGGAGGAGGCTAGAGGAGCACCTGGTGTCTCCATCTCCCCTGGCAGAAGGATGTCAAGAAGCCATGGTGGTGAGGGTCAGTCCTGCACACCACAGCTGTGCAGAGCTCCATGCTGCATACGTTATTCTGTGCAGCCATGGCTCTTGGGGAGCCCAGCCTGGGTGAAGGTTTGTGAAGAAACCTTAGAGGTTAACACAAAATAATGTCTCTCAACTTAAAAGATTTCCTTCCCGTTTGCATCTGTCTTTACTTCAGTCTCAGAGTGGAGAGCAGCAGCAGTGGCTGTTGCTGTCTCAAGGAAATTCAAGCTATGGAGTTGTGAAACTTCCAGAGTATTGTTTGTTCATTGCACAGCTGTTCAAAATGTTTAATAAAGCTTTATAAACTTTGGTCTATGGCCTCCTGTCCAGCATGATGCATTGGCTGCTCATTGCAGATGCCTTAGCCCAGCAATTGCGTCTCTCTGTATTCGTCTGTTCCCAGTGCAGTAACCCCAGAGTCTCCAGCAAAAGGCAGAGCCCATTTGCCCTGTATCTCCCAGTACTGACTATCCTCATTGGAACAGTCAATCTCACTCTCGTGGGCTGATTGAGGACTATACTGGTGGTCCCTAAACAGGCTCATCTTGCACACAACACAGGAGGTAGCTTCTGGTTGTATCCCTGCACTCACATGACATTCCCCGTTTCCATACTGCTTATGAAATAAAACCAGGGTCATGTCCTGAAAGCCACTAATCCCCAATGCAGACAGTAAAAGTGTTATCTGCCAGCACCTACGCAGTGTGAGCCCATCCCACAGCACCATGTCTGCTCAACCTGTCCTGCTGCTGGGGCCAGAGACCTGGCTGCAACCCAACCACCAGGAGCCATCCAGGGGACATATGGTTGTGTCAGCCCTTCCACACCTTCAGCCATAACCCCCTGTAGCGCTGGGGGGCAGGGGGGGACACACGCTGCAGCCAGATGGGACTGTCGTATCTGATGGCACCCAGGAGCACCTCAGGGAGTTAAAGGCTGTAGGAGCTGTGCTGCTGGAGCTGAAAGCAGCAACAAGCCCTGAAGACCAAGTCCAAGTTGGAAAGGGTTCAGGGCATATCAGTGTTTACATGTTTTTTAAAAAAGTGTGTGTCACACCACCAAGAATAGATGTGACAGTTCTGTCACCTGTCAGGCTGAGGGAAACCCAGTAGCTGTCATACCAGCTACAGCATAAATAAAGGGGGGGGGGGCATCTCATTTGCAATCTATGGCAGGAGCGTTGGCTGTACTTGAGACACTCTCAAGCTTAAATTAATTTAAGCTAATGCAGACGGTTCTCTTAAGAGTACAGTTTTGTTGCTAACTACCTAAGTTGCATTCTACACCAATTTAAATAAATTCTAGCCACAAAGCCAGACAGTCCTTTGGATGAGGGCAAGCCCTAGTTTTGTATATGGGGTTCAAGACAAGTGCAGCGACATGAGAGACCTTGAAAGACTGAAGGGTAAGAAACCTACTTTTTTGCATCCCTCCCACCCCAAATGTAAAAAGTGCTCTTTGATGTGCATGCAGCCGTCACCCGTATGCTGTCTCACCCTCTTTAGAGCACTGAGATACCATCTTCATTTTAAAGATGGAATATTAAAGCAAGTTCATCCATGGTCAGACAGAAAGCCTCAGGCAGAGTGAGGAACCCAAGCAGGCCTCACATCCCATGCTAATGTGTCCTCTATAAGGAGACCGTGAAAAATAAGCCCGTGACTGCAGAACAGGTTGGACCCAATTGCTTTTGAAAAGCATCATCACAGTTTCCTTGTTTGTGCAAATCGGACCGCCCATACAGATGCAGCATTTGCTGGCTACACAGAAGAAAGCTCAGGGATGTTTTGTCCTGGTCTCAAGGAGCTGCTCTGTCAGAAGCAGTGGGGTGGCTCTGTCCCCTGGCATCCAGGAGGCATCAAGGGGTCTCTGCATGGGGGCCACACCAGTAGGCAAGGGGACAGCATCCCAGGTGGAAGCTACGCCAGAGACCGAAAGCAGTGGGGTTTAAAGCACAACCACTGTGTTGTGCCAGGTCCCATCAAGCCTGGAAAGTGCCCGCAAGGGCCTTGGCGCAAAGGAGTCTCACCGCCTTGCTGGGTTATTAAGTGTCCATCTGCCTGGTGTCCCCTAGAGACAAGGAGCAGGAGCTTTAAGTTGTTCCTTTGTCTTTCCATTTGAAGGAGAGATCATTTTATTTTCTAGGTCACGTAACAGATCAGTGACACAGCAGGGTCAGGAAACGGGAAAAGAAAAACCAAACCCTGGCTCAGATCCCTAGAAACAGAGACGCAGCTTAGCTCAGGGCAGACCTCGTGCCGCTTACTGCAGCCTCAGGGTCTGGGGGCTTTTCACTCCCTTCCTCGCTGCTCCTCAGGGACAGGCAGCATCTCCAGGATGAGCAACTGGGACACCACCGGGCTTCCCATGGAGATTTGTCCATGACTGCCAGGTTGGTATGGCTTTTTGAACCCTAGATCTGCCAGACACCCATGCTGGGGCATCTCGAGGGCTGATGTTTGGCAATAAAGCTCCCTGTCACTGCTCAGGGTGCAGATAAGGAATCAGCTGTCCAGTGCCACCATGGCCACCAGCCCACTCTCCCAGCATCTGTCTATCCACCCCCAGGCAATTAGTGCCTCCTGCCTGGATGCTTTCCCTGCTTACCCTGAGACAAACCCACAACATTGCTTTATTAACTTGGCAGCAGATGGAGGAGAGAGGTTGATCCCACTGAGGAGCCATTTGGGCTGGAAGCACCCACCAGAAAGACACAGCTAATTCCACAGGTGCAGCCCTGCTGCTGATAGCGCCCGGGAGACTCCAACCTCATCCTCTCATGCTGGTACCCAGGGGCTGGTCCAGCCAAAACCCCTGAGCCAGGGTAGCCACAAAGATCACTCAGGGCCACAGAGAGCCCTGCCCTGCCTGTGCCCTTTGCTCTTGCTTGTCTCTTCCTCCTTGTCTCCTTGCATCAGAGCACTTTCCCAGCCCTCAGCAAAGGCATGAGGTAAGTTACAGTCAGGTAAGGACTTTAGCCCTTCCCTCAGGAGCCTGGAGATTAACCCTTGGCAAGAGGGTTTTCCTAGTCTTCTGAGCAAAGGCAAATCCTCTGGTAGCAGGGCAAGGGAGGATGGATGGCTCAGGTGCCACCCAGACCTGCTGCTGGGGGGTGATGAGGTCCGAGTGGCAGAGCCCACAGGGGACACAGACAGGCTTTGTCCTTCAAGTCAATACATGCTGGCAGCTTCCTGTTCCCCCCTTGCTAACAGTGAGCAGCAGGCACAGCGGGACCAGAACAGCATGACCAGCGAGAGCCAAGTGCCCCGCACCTCCTCACCAGCCCTGCTATGGGAACAGCCACAGCCCCCACCCTAACACCCAAATCCTCTCCTGTGCTTACAGGGCACAACACAAGCGTGAAGCAAACAGCGAGATTAAGTCCATTAAAGGAGGCATGTGGTGTAATCCCCAGGCACATCTGCTCAGCTCAGGCTGGGGACGCCTGGCAGGGGATTCCAGTGGCCCAAGTGGGTCCCAGTAGCAATTCTCATCTCACACTTCTTGGCCTAGCAAGCCTCTGCCCCTCCAGGCTAACATCACCCCCTTCCCACCCAGTTTCATAGGACTAGCCTCTACAGAAGACTTAGGAGTCAAGAGGGGTGTCACCATGGCAAAACAGCCACCGAGCACAGCCCTGACCTTTTAAAGGTCCGTCAGCTACCACCGAGGCTAAAGACCGGACACGGAATGAACAGTACAGAAATAGGAGGAAGTGAGCAGTGCCATCAGCAGGGTTTGGAAGTACCAAATCCAGCCCCCTAACCCTCTGGACACAACTCACCACAGACACCTGCACTGCCCCAGGGCTTCCCACAGCACCCCGAATCCCAAGCAGCAATGCCAAAAGGGCTTGGAGAAGCCTCAGCCTTAGCTCCTTCCTAGGGGTGACCCCAGCACACACAGACCAAGGAACATGCTCAATTTCTTAATTGTTTTAAAGAGAAGCAAAACACAAAACATTAAACATTTAAGGTGGTAAGACTGAGTTCACTTACCAGCTGAAGGAGAAGGGTGCAGCCGCACACCAGCACTAAGCAGCCAGACTGGGGGACCTGAGGAACTAAAGCCACCCCAAAACATGGTGGTAGAAGAGGAAAACAGCAGTCACCTCCCTGCTTTCAGAAGGCCTACTCCCCACAGCACTATGCTGTATATCGATTACTTAATCACCAAGTGAGGGATCCCAATCAGCACCCGCTAACTACCCTAACAAATCAGGCCTGCTCCTTGTAGCTGCTGATGAAGCAGATTCTACTGAAGGGAGGGCTGCCCCCAGCCCTGTCCCCCCAGCCCAGCCAAGGGGGGTTGACAGTCACAGCTCCCGTCTGCTGGGCTTGGGGCAGTGCCGCTGGCTTTGGTCACATCCATGCCCACCCCAGGGTCACCGTGTCACCCAGATGTGCACACCGGGGTCACAGGAGCTGTGCAGAGCTGGGACCACCGGCTCCTGTAGCAGGGATGTGAAAAAATCCTCCCATACATGAGCTACGCATTTTTTTCGTGAGGTTTGTATTTAATTATCAAATTGCAAAGTATTTACATCAACATTAGTTTCAAAGCATCTCCACCCCCCACCACCCACAAAGCTGGACCTTTTTTTCCAAAGTTTTATTATTATTATCCCCCCCCCCCCCCCAAAAAAAAGCTAAATGTTTTACTTGGGACACCAAAAAAGGCAGGTGGGGGGAGAGGGGAGCTGGGGAGAGAGACACAGATCCACACGTTCTCTGCATAGTCAGTTGGAGATCTTACAAAACACTGTTTTAAAAAAAAATAACAGCAGAGGAGAATAATTTGCAGAGTGTTATTGACCTCAGGAAGCCAAAGAGCATCCTTAGGTGGGGGCTCCCCTCTGGACTTTATTGGCATAAAAAATAAATTGGCAGATGACAATGGTGATGGAGGAGAGGCCCTCGGTCTGCACAGCCTCTGGGTCGTGCCGGCTGCAGCAGTGAGTGTGGAGGCGCTGGGTCTCACTGAAACACAGATGGACACACAGACACACAGCCCAACCCCGTGCCGGGGGGCTTCTCCACGACTGCTGTACTGTCTTCTTCAGCAGAGCTTGCCAAAATCCACAGAGGATTAAGCCAGGTTGGGGTGTTCCTCACCCTGAGGCCGCATTCCCTCTTGCCAGAAAGAGCCAGAAAAGGAAACCGCCGCGTTAATCCCAAACCCATTCCTGTGCCACTGCACGCTTGCAAGACCCCAAATGTGCTGCAGACAATCTTAACACGTGTGTTTGCCTTCTCTCTCCCCAGCTTTCAGTTCAAATCTGGCTTTTGCACATTACAGTTTTAAGAGGTTTCTCTCAGGGATGGGGATTTTGTATCATTTAGACAGAGCTATGGCACAGGTCACCCCTCGCACCAGCTGCTGTGGGACGGGGCTTCTCTGGCAGCACCGACGGGGATGTGGCAGCTGCCCGTTTCGGGGATGCAAACATGGGAAGACCCAGGACATCATGGTTTGGGGAGGCCCTGCCCATGCACAGAAATGCAGGCACAGCAAATCTGCTACGGAGGGTGGAAAAAAGGCTCCAAGTCCCAAAATGATAAAAAAAAATAATTCATTAAACCAGTTGCTGTTCTCCAAGCCAGTAGGATCTCTCCATACCGCTGAAGAGCCCATTCAAGCCGATTTTGAAGGTTTTACTCATTAAAATGGAGCCACCAATCAAGCAAGCGCTTGGTTCATAAATAAGTGGCTGGGAAGCTGTGGGAATGAGTGGGAGGAGCAACACCTCTGGGCCCTGCTCTGCTGGGGGTATGGGGAGAGGCTTTTGGCTGCACTCCTGCCCCTGCTCGACTCCCACCCAGCTTTCACGGGACACTGGCACCGTGGTGGGGGCTGGTGAGAGGCGGCTCAGGTCTGCTGCCTCCAAGGAGGCTGTGCCGGAGGGAAACCCCATCCCAAAAGTGATGGGGGGTTCAAAGCCAGCCCACTGCTGAGGACCAAGAGGTGGGTGAAGCCACTGGCTCTCTGCTCTGTGTCCTTCCCACCAGTGTGTGCCAGCACCTCTACCCACCAGCACTCCCTCCAGCCCCCAACCCATCCCCCAGTCCAGGAGATCATCCAAAGAGCCCCTAGGTCTTTGTAAATGAGGGGCATAAAGGGTGTCCAAGACACCAGAGGTGAGGGAGCCACCACAGTGGGTGAAGGGTTTTTAGCTGGGTTCAGCCGCAGGAGAGGGAAAAGACCAACACATGCAACTACATCAATGTCTGGGAGGGTGTGGGGGCCGCTTGGGGGGCTATGTACAAGGCAGGTGCAGAGTGGGAGAGTGCACGGGCTGGGTGTGATCCTGGCATTCAGCCCCGCATGTTGGGGGACCAAAGCTGGACACATATTGACACCCACAGCCAAAACGCAGCTGAGGCCTTTGGGAGCGAGCAGAAAGGAGATGAGGATGTAAACATCTCCTGTGCAGTACAGCGCTGGGGGATGGTGGGGGTGCTTCCACTGCATGGGGACTGCAGCCTACCAGGTGAGATGTGAGGGGTGGGGGGAAGGCAGCTAAAAACATACTGGGTGGACAAAAACATCCGTGAAAGACGAGTATTTCCCCCAGAATGCTCCCACACCCTGAACAGCCATCCATGCCATGCACCCCAGTTCTGTGGCAGCAACGGATTTGGTGGCAGGGCCAGCCTGGGGGACTCTGCTGATGGGAAAGCTGGTGGTGGAGCTGGGGAGGGTGCTGGGGGGTTGTGGTGCACTTCCCATGGGGGCGGCTGGAAGACCAGGAGTGCTCGGTGGGAGAAAGCACAGCCGGGGCGGTGGGGCTGGGCACAGGCGGGGCGAGGGCTCCACCGGCATCCCCTAGTGCTGCTCCCAGGAGAGACGAAATGGGGCCCTTGGGGGGACAGACACAGCTGAAAGACTCGAACATGCGCCTGGGTGCTCACACAGGATGGTGACGGTCACTGGAGCCATGAGCAGACACATTTCATGCTCCAGTGCCCGCAAGCACAGCTCAGACCAGAGCCCTGCCATGGCAAGGCCAGAGGGACACCAAGGAACAGGGACCACAAGCACCCTGCTGCTACAGCACGCTGTCCAC